AACACACACACACACACACACACACACACACACCCCGCCCTGGGGAGAGGGGCATTGTGAGTAACAACCCCCCCATCCCTGGGGAGAGGGGCATTGTGGGTAAAAAAAACCCAGCCCTGGGGAGGGGCATTGTGGGTAAAACACACAAACATACCCCGCCCTGGGGAGAGCAGCATTGTGGGTACAAGCCCCCCCAGCCCTGGGGAGAGGGGCATTGTGGGTACAAGCCCCCCCAGCCCTGGGGAGAGGGGCATTGTGAGTACAAGCCCCCCAGCCCTGGGGAGAGGGGCATTGTGAGTACAAGCCCCCCAGGCCACCCCCATGAAGCAAAGCCTCATGGGTAAGAGCAGACAAGGCTCTTGCAGGGAACCGCCCCAGGCAGCTACTGCATGACAAGTCCGGGGCCGGCCCTGCGGAGCGAGGCATTGTGGGTAAAGCGCCCTCCCCCAATACCTACCGTGCCGGGGCCCGCCCAGCCCCCCCTCCAGGCAGCGCCCGTGGCCGTTCTCGCCCGGGCGGCCGCACCAGCCGCAGCGGGGCTGGCGGGTGCAGCGGGCGCATTGCTGGGCGCGGGCGCAGGGGGGGGCGCAGCTCTCGGTCCCGCTCAGCACCCGCCCGCACAGCCCCGCCAGGCACCGCATGGGCAGGTAGGTGGGGCTCATGCACTGCGGGGAGAGAGGGGGGGTTACTGCTGCCCTGGGCCGGCACGGCCCCCTGAAACCTCCCCTCCCTGGGATCCCCCCTCCCCACGGCCGGCATGGCCCCCCCAAAATCCCCCCCCCAGGATCCCATGTCCCCCCTAGCCTCCCCGGGATCCCCCCTCCCCACGGCCGGCGCAGCCCCTTCCTGTGGATCCCCCTCCCCTTGGCTGGAACGGCCCCCCCAAACCTCCCTCCCCGGGATCCCATGTCCCCCCCGGGATTCCCCCTCCCCCCAGCCCTCCCTGGGTTCCCCCCCAAGCCCCGCCCCATGGCCCCCAGCGGACCTGGCGCAGACTGACGCTCCAGACGCAGCGTTGCCAGCCCCCGTCGGCCCCCTTGGAGCCCAGGCAGGCGTGGCAGGAGCTGTGGTTGTGGCAGGGTGTGGGGCAGGCCAGGGGGGGTGACGACTCCACGGGCATGGGGGAGACGTTGAGCAGCGAGTGGCTGAAGCACGTCCAGTCGTAGGTGGGCTGCACGCTCAGGATGCGCCGCGTCTCGCCTGGGGGCGGGGGGGAGGGTGAGATCCCTGGGAGACCCCCCCCCTCGTATGCCCCGCCCGCCCCGGCCCCCACCACCCTGCCAACCCCTTCCCCAGGCACCCGCTGCCCCCCACAGCCTCTGCCCCGGATCCACCCAGTCCCCACCATCCTGCCACCCCCTTACCCAGTGTGACGAACTGGGCCTGTTCTCACTGTGGTCTGTGAGTGCTGACAGGGGAGTGTGGCTGGGATAGTCTGCATTGGAAGATGGGATCTGCCCGAGGGCGCATTCCTGAGTGTGTAACATGAGAACCCAGGAAGGGGTTGAAGGCCAGGTGACTCCTTAGCCCCGG